GGTCAACAAGCAACACAATCGGAGTTATAAACAGGTCAACTCGACTGTTACACCCCATCCATCTCTAGCCAACTGATGGTGTTCGCGCGCTATCGGAACGCGTCAAGTACCATCAATACATAGCTCGAACTCTGGATGCTGCCGTTAAGATTCATACGAACGCGATCTCGGCGGAGTCCATGTCTTTCGAAGGGTGTGTGGGTGGAATCGCCTGCAACGAATTCGACTCAAAGGTATGGAAAAAGATCTAAAACAACAACGGTATGTCGTTCCAATACTGCAAAAAATATATGAAGTAACCCGTGCCAGGCTGTATCCGGGAAATACGTATCTACCTTGAACCACCATAAATTATTGCCCAGCGATTTTCTCAGTCACCTCTCCAATCGTTCCCAGCCTAGTGTTTGGTTGTTGAACGTAGCTAAGGATAAGCTTAAAGATCCTCGCTCGAAGACTGGTATTCGTCCCGCCTGCCGCTGGAGGTTCAGGTACCATGACATGAATGGCAAGCCAACCCCGTTTCCTCCAAACTCATCCGGATTCCTCTACTATCACCAACCCCAAGGCGCACCTCTGCTTTCTGGAGAAGTACGCTTTCGACTCACTCCAAATAGCCTCCCTGAGAGTTTTAGTCAAGGCGAAGACTGTCTTACCCCACATGGAGACATCTGGAAGATTCCCCTCCTTTCTCTTCATGGTCATAAAGCTCATCAGAATATCTATCGACAGCTTCAGCTGGACGGGTTCGTCTCTGATGCATTACATTCAAAGCTCAACTCTTTTGCCAAGACTTGCCGCTGTCCTCGGCATAGCGGTATCATCTTACATTCACTGCACCAAGTATTTCCTGTAAATTTTGCAGCGCGTGCTTTGAACCTCTCCGTGGTGGGCGACTCGACTTCCCGAAGGGTTTCCTTACAATTCCCCTTTGCAACGCAAGTCATGGGCTACAAGAAGGTGTCTCCATTCACCAGTGCGGATGACCTCTTTCTTGAAGAAATTACGAGTCGAAACTGATTGGTGACTTTTTAGGTAAGGGTTTGGCGCGCTTTGAGCTTTCAAAGCTGCCTGAACACGCAGGAACCAAAACAGTGGTGATGCGCGTTGTGAAACTTGTGGGAGATCCGGGGCCTTACTTGGGGGAAGATCGGCCACAAGAGGGGGCACTGGTATTGCGACACAATCCTGCCGGCGGAAAACCCAGGGTGTTCTGTTCAAGGGTTGATCGCAGTTCACCCGAAAATGGCTTGAAAGGCTTTTCGCATCCTGATGCACTCCCTCTGCTTCTCGAAAACACCTTTCGGGGTGAGCATTCTAAGCCGTAGCTATGCCTTGCCATGTGCTTGTGCACGGTGGCCGATTCGGGCCTGCAACGATGCTACTTATCATTTGCCGCGGTTACAAACACCCCTGGGGACACTACGTCTACTCCCTTGTTTGGCCTCTTTTCGACATAATCGCGGTTATCATTCTCAATGGACATATGTAGTGAAGATCTACTACCTGTCCAACGTAGTTTTATAACCCTTCAAAAGAACTCGGGATGCTTTCAGAGGCTTGAGACTGTGTAGCCCCCAGCAAGGTATGCACGAAATACCCAATCCCGCTGTTGTCTTCTCAAAATCAACGAGACTAGCACGGAGTCATGAAGTTTGTCCGTCTACGTATGCTCAACAGAGATTTTGGCGTCCACGATCAGTGACAACGAGAAGACACTTGGGTACACAAAAGTGACCTCTACATGAGCATAGAGCCAGGTGCGATAATGGGCTATCAGAAACGGGGTAGTTTAGAGTATAGTCCGTATGGTCACAATCTTGTCTCCTCGGAAAAGGATGTGCATTCAAGTCTTATTCGTTATTCTCGTTTCCTCAAGCTCGCCTTCACGTTGCAGAGCAGCAGTGCCTTGTAAGCCAACTTCGTTTGTTTTGCGCATCAAGCAATGACGTGGGGGTGCCATCGGAAGAATAATCCCTTTGGTATCTGAGGGAGGGAGCGTGAAGATGGCCATGTTGTCGCATTGTTTTTGAAGGCGGTGGGAGGCAGGTGAGATCAAAGCTGCCCTACAGGGCACGAAGGGAGTTTACTTTGTATATATCTTTCGAACCAGGCTGGGTCGGCGTCAGACTACGATTGAACCATCTGAGAGTAAGATAGCAATGCACCTTTGGCATGTAAATTCAAAATTGTAGGCTTGTACCCAAACATCCCGCTACGTCACATACCGAGGTGACGCGCTGCTACGAGCCCATCCCCATCTATAAAGGTTTAAGATGATGAAAGGAATACGTCCCTTATGTTGCCCTTATGACAGAACGACATACCTTGATTTCCAGGCCCACACGCCAGGGCTTAGGCACAGGCCAATCCAGACAACTCCATCAACTAGACAACGTGAGGGACATTCGTCAGACCTACGAAAGTCAAAAAATACGGCTACTGACCTGGTCATTGGTCAAGGCTGAAGTGGCCAACAGAGTTCATGAGCTCTTCATCGATCTACAGAATTATGCTCAGTTCTCTGCAACTCAGAGGCACTGTCAGCTCATTTGCTGAGCAAATTTGGCTGTGAGATATTGCATAGACATAATCGTTCTTTTGTGAAAGGCTTATTTGAGGTGATGGAGTCCGTTGCCCTCGAACATGATGGCTTCAGGTGATTGTCAACAAGCAACAAACACAATCGACGTGCCAGTGATAAACAAGTCAACTCGACTGTTACACCCCAACCACATCTCTAGCCAACTGATGGTGTTGGCGCGCTATCGGAACGCGTCAAGTGCCATCAAGTATACATAGGTTGAACTCTGGATGCTGGTGTTAAATTTCACACGAACGCGATCTCGGCGGAGTCTATCTCTTGTAAAGGGCCTCCAACCATACTCGCCTGCCACGAATTCGACTCAAAGGTATGGAAAAAGACCTAAAACAACAACGGTATGTCGTTCCAATACGCTAAGACTGCAAAAAATATATGAAGTAACCCGTGCCAGGCTGTATCCGGGAAATTCGTATCTACCTTGAACCACCATAAATTATTGCCCAGCGATTTTCTCAGTCACCTCTCCAATCGTTCCCAGCCTTGTGTTTGGTTGTTGAACGTAGCTAAGGATAAGCTTAAAGATCCTCGCTCGAAGACTCCTGGCATTCTTCCCGCCTGCCGCTGGAGATTCAGGTACCATGACATGAATGGCAAGCCAACCCCGTTTCCTCCAAACTCATCCGGATTCCTCTACTATCACCAACCCCAAGGCGCACCTCTGCTTGCTGGAGAAGTACGCTTTCGACTCACTCCAAATAACCTCCCTGAGAGTTTTAGCCAAGGCGAAGACTGTCTTACCCCACATGGCGACATCTGGAAGATTCCCCTCCTTTCTGTTCATGGTCATAAAGGTCATCAGAATATCTATCGACAGCTTCAGCTGGATGGGTTTGTCTCTGATGCATTACATTCAAAGCTCAAGACTGTCGCCAAGGCTTGCCCCTGTCCTCGGCATAGCGCTATCATCTTGCATTCACTGCACCAAGTATTCCCTGTACATTTCGCAACGTGGTTTTTGAGCCTCTTCGTAGTTGGCGACTCGACTTACCGAAGGGTTTTCCTACGCTTCCCCTTTGCAACACAAGTCATAGGCTACAATAGAGTGTCTCCATTCACCAGTGCGGATGAGCTCTTTCTTGGAAAAATTGCCAGTCGAAACTGATTGGTGACCTTTTAGGTAAGGGTTTGGTGCGCTTTGAGCTTTCAAAGTTGCCTGAACACGCAGGAACCAGAACAGTGGTGATGCGCGTTGTGAAACTTGTGGGAGATCCGGGGCCTTACTTGGGGGAAGATCGGCCACAAGAGGGGGCCCTGGTATTGCGACACAAGCCTGCCGGCGGGAAACCCAGGGTGTTGGCTTACACCCGAAAGGGTC